GTAATTCCAGCTACTCAGGAGGCTGAGGCAGGAGAATTGCCTGAACCCAGGAGGCGGAGGCTGCGGTGAGCCGAGATCGTGCCATTGCACTCCAGCTTGGGTAACGAGAGCGAAACTCCGTCTCAAAAAAAAAAAAAAAAAAGATCCTTATGAGTGCAAAAACAATTTTGATACCCAATAAAATTCTTTATTTCTCATGATAGGAGAACACTAGACGTTCTACAGATACTTCAAAATTTATATTTGGAACACATACAATGAAACTTAAAACATTAATCATAAGCACTTATATTTCCACATAGTCTGTGCACCTCCTTTCCTCATCCCTTGCCATGTCATTATCTTAATTTGGCAAAGCTCTCTGTTTACCATTCGCTAATGTCTTTTTCCCTTCTTGTTTCTTGCTTTAGAATTGTTTGTGATTTATTTATGAAAGCTACAACAATACATATGAGAATTCTCTGTTTTTGATTCCTACATACACTTGCTGTATTAAAACAAATTATGTGATTATTATTTACTTTTAAAGTCAATTCTCTAGAAATGCATTAGAGATCCATTATGTGCGAAAACCATATTAGAGGGATGCTGAGGTTTGGCAGGGACTATGAATGTATGAGGGATAAATGCATAAGTCATGATCCCTTCTACTAATTCAGGTATAAATCAAGTACCTTTGTACATCTTACTTCCTCATATTGGAATGCCATTCTCCTAGTCTCTAACCACTGGAATCTTTACATGCTCAGCTGCCTTCTTCTCTATGAAGTCATTCTGGACTTTTATAATCAAAGTTCATTACCCATCTGTACTCTCAAGAGGTTATCATATGTTTATATGGCATTAATCATTTTGCCCCTTTTAATTGTTGTTTTTGCTTTTATGTCTACTTTGACCCATTATATCAGTGCTGTGGGCATTCAATTTAAATTAAAGTGAAGTAGTATTAAGAATTCTGTTCTTAGGCCAGGCACAGTGGCCCACGCCTGTAATCCCAGCACTCTGGGAGGCTGAGGCAGGAGGATCACACAGTTAGGAGTTCAATATCAGCCTGACAACATGGTGAAACCCCATCCATTAAAAAAAAAAGAATTCAGTTCTTCACCTGTACTAGCCACATTTCAATTCAATTTCTCACTAGCCACATTTCTCTAACAGTTGCTGTGTTGGATATCAGAGACTTATATCATTTCCACTATCACAGAAGGCTCTACTGGACAGTGCTATTGTAGATCGTGCACATCTTTGAAGGCGGTGGCCATAATATTGAAACTAATAAGGTTCCAAAATTAATAAAATAATAAGTCTAAAGGAGTTATATCACAGTGGTGGTGTGGGGCAAGGGCAGGGTCAGGATTGTTTGGCAAATAGACACAGAGCTTTGTGTTATCTTGAGTGGGTTCTGTTCTATTTGAGAAGATTGCATTCTACTTTAAAGAAAGGCATGCATGTTATATCTGCTAAAATAAATAAAGGTACCAGGAATTTTAAATAGCATAAAAATCATGTAGAACGTGTGCCTCAAATTTTAATAAATGTGGCCACAGTGAAGTAAACAGATTAGAGAGATAATATCAGATTTTTTTCTATCAGTTCAAATATCCATAATATCTAGTTTACATTTCTATTCAAAATTACTTAGAAAAAGATTGTTTTAATGGCCCTCATATATAAGAATTCTAAGAAATTCTGCACTAACACTCAAGAAATGAGCACTCTTATTCTTTACTCATACAATGAAAAAGTAAGTTATTGTATTCACTTGAGCTTGAAAAATAACACATAAAATTATTCTTTTGGTAAAATATACTCCTTCATTTTCTAAGTCCATAGCCATATAAAGCCATCAAATTTTGCTCAATATATACATTGGTCTTCGATTTAAAGGTTGTCCAGAAAATGGCATGGATATTCTGCAAGGGGGATAGGCCTGGTACAGGGGAAGGAGCATGAATGTTGGAATTGGACTAACTGGGCTTTCAATCCCAGCTTTGCCACTGACTGACATTGTTGTGTTGGGAGATGCTTAAGTATTCCAAATCTGAGGTCACTGATCTTTACCATACAAGTCTTTTACAAAGTTTATGAAAATGACCATAGAAGTAACAAGCAACTGTCTAGCATGCCCAGTATATGGCCTTTCAATACGGAGTTAAAAACCTGCCTTCCAGTGGCCTTTCATTACCTTCGCCACCTATTATAGCCAAATGATGTGGGATTTCATACTTGAGTTTTTTTGATAAATGATTTTGTTTTAATCATTGTCTGTCTTTAGATCTTATCCATATTTCTTTGGTGACAACAATTATACCTAAGACAAAGTAATCTGAGCTCTCTATTGTTGGTTTTTTGTGTTTTTATGCATATACCATATTGTTTTTGTTATTATAGTCTTGAAATAAAGTTTGAAATCTGGAAGTAAAAAAAAAGACAAAGTAAGGACAATTTTAATGGAGTTTTAAGACAGAGATTGCCTATGCTATTTAGCTTGAGTGTAGCTTACAATGACACAAAGCTCTCAAAATTAAAAGGAATTTTAGAATAATACATTCCACTTTATGTGCCAAGAGCAGAAACACTGTTTGATTGGGCTGGCCTGAAGAACTTTACTGTAGAGTAGCATCATTCACTTTTCTGAGGACCTAGAGCATGGGAGAGTTACATCCACTTGTATGTTGTTATGATAGGAGAAGGTATTAACAACATTCATTTGCCTGGTGTTGGGACCCTAAATTATAAGCAGCTCCATTCCAACACACACACACACACACATACACACACACACACACACGCACACACAATCTGACTTTTGTTTATTTTGAACCCCTTTTACAATGTCTACCTCTTTAACCATCTGATTTGCTTTGCATGGCATAGGGGAAAGGAGTGAGGTAGGCAGGTTTCTGAACCCCATGCTTTGACTATACTTAATCTCTTAACTAAATAAAAGCCTTAGGTTTCTCATCTGTGTAATAAAAATAAAGATACTTACCTTGTATGATTATTTTGTTTTGAAGTTTAAATGAGAAATAGATGTTCTAAAAATTTCTGAAGTGATACTTTCTTAGTAAGCATTAATCTTCCCCCTTCCTTACCTTTCTCAAAGTTATTTGTGAGGATTCAGTGAACTGATGTAATATATCATGAGAGGTGAAGAGCACAGAATTTGAATCAGATCTGAATTCAAATCTTGGCTCTGCTACTTACCAGCTGTGTGACCCTGGGGTATTATTCTATCTTTTATAATACTTTTTAAATTTTTAAAATGGGAATAATAATTCCTAGTTCATGCAGTTTTTGTGAGGATAATGTAAAGTGTATATAAATTTCTTTGTGCTAGCCCTGGTGTTCTCCATATATTACTAAGCTATTATGAAAGCACTCTACTCCAGTTACTATATGTAGTCTGACTTATGTTCAGCTTCTCTGAAGCTGTCTTCCAAACGAGATCATGAGTTTCTGGAGGAACCAGATTCAACTCTGTTGAATTCTGAAGCATCATTGGAGTAGTGCTAAGTACATTATGCTGATGCCTGTTCAACTTTTGGCCAGTAGAATAAATGCCTGTTTTGTTTTTTTTTGGTTTTTTGGTTTTTTTACCTACTTACCTATCAGCCACTATTCTTCGGATGGCCAATACAAACAAAACATTGGGTAAATTATTAATGTAAAAAAAGTTGAATCAAATTCATGGGCTGTCTAGGTATCATATCCCAGCAATTGTATTGTGTAAGCAGAAACTTATAAATGATTAGTGACAAAAATTTCACTCATATTTGTATTTTATATATATATATATATATATATATATATATATATATATATATATAAAAATTTATCTCATACTTAGGCCATATCTACTGAGCATAAGCAAAGAGGGAAGAACACAAAGTGATCAGGACGAGGAGAGGGTGAATGCCACCAGAGGCTGGCTTGGCCATTGCTTTCCTAACCTTCATGTATGAATCTGTTAGTATTATTATTCACTTTTTGTTTAAAAATATTATTTTTGTAAAAGCATCATAGCTGTGACATACTTAAAAATATATCTTTTTAATCGACTAAAATCAAGTATTTCGGAGCATGAAGGATTATTTAAAAATAACATATTGTAAGCCAACGAAGAACAGATAATCTTGGAAATAAATTTTTCCTTAGGATTCTTCAAAATAATAAAATACACTGCAAAATGTTTAAAGCATTTCCAAATCTTGCTTTGTCATGCAGTCTTTGCCTATGCAGCAGTGATCTTGTTGATGCCCTGTGCAATCTGTCATTTTATAGATTATCCCTACGAGGTAGATGTTAACCACTTATTTTAAGAAAGGCAGAACACAAGACAGTTGAATGCTTTGTCTTGGCTTTTCACAAAGTAAGAAACAATCAGAATGAGATATTTATAGTTTGGGCTCTCCTGCCTGATTTATTATTTTGAACTTTTTATGTGATTCTGTCTATGGAAAAATTGAAAAGTAAACAGATTTAGGGACTGATTGCTGTATAGACATTGTTTTCAGACCACAAGAGAGACAAACTTCCACTTCCAGTTATTTCTGAATGACATTTCTCTGCAAACCAGCAAGGCTTGTTTTATCCAGGCTTGGCCAAATTAAATATGATCCCTGTATTTTTCCCTCATGTTTGGAGATCAAGCAAAATATTCATCATTACGCTATTTACTGCAGTGAAAGCTTGTATGTGATTATATGAATGCCTAAATAGCCTTGAAGTGAAGACTGTCAAATTCAATAATACCTGGGATGATTGCACGTATTCTCCTCTACCACATATTTGTAGCATTTGTTTGGAGGGCTAAAATTTTTGTTTTAGTCTTATAGAATTTCTTAAAATTTGTAAGATTTTTCAAATTCTCCTAAATATAATACATAAGGAACACTTTTTAGATAAATGATGTGTAAAGTTAGCAAAAAAAAAAATGTCCTGTACCTACTGATTTCAATATCTTTTCATTTCTCTGTTTGTTTTAAATTTAATTTTAGAGGACTGCTGAAGTATCAAACTAATTTAGATACCCACCCTCCCGGCTGCATCAATCTTAACCGAACCAGCTCTCAGAATATTTCCTTACCAGAGTATTTCTCAGAACATTTTCATGAACCTTTCCCTGAAGGATTTTCAAAATCAGAAGAGTTCGCTCAGAACACATTTGTGAAGATTTGTGTGGAAGAGCCCAGATTCCAAGCTAATTTTCCACAGGTCAGATTGATTTTGTGTTTTGATCTCTACAAAATTTGTTTCCATGTGATTGATCAACATCACATGTAAATATACTTTTCAAGCTATATATTCATGCATAGTAGGATATTTCAAGATGTTCCAACAGTGAGTGCCTATTATTCCATTACAGGTACCTGACAGTTCAAGGCAAAAGATCTATGATATTAGAGGATAGATAAGATTTCTACTTAACTGACCATATGACCTTTGCATATAATAGCACTGGTGCTTGTAGCCAAGAGAGGACAAACATTTTCCCATTAGTTGAGAAAAGTTGGTTGAATAATAAAAATAGTAGTAAAAAAAAAAACCTACCACTACTACTACTGATTATTGTTTTACTTTATTATAATATTATGTATAATATTTTAAATAGTAAATAGCAGAATCCATTTATTGAATGCTGAATATTATCTGCTAGGCATTGTGCTAAAATATCCTGTATGCCTAGTACAGAACATGTATTAGGCATACAGAATGTTTTTTGCAGTATTCACAAGTAATTAATATTATCCTCAATTGTCTAATAAAGAAATTGTGCTCACCTTGATCAAAGTCTCCAAACTAGTAAGTGACAGAAGAAGCATGCAAACCCAGGTCTTTGACAAATATGCTTGCTCCTCGAAAACTTTCATAAGTATTCAGCAATTGGTTCAGCAAGGGCCCTGATCTTCCTCTGTGTCTGTGGGAACTGCCCCCAGGCAAATTACACCTTTTATTCTTCATCTATAAAAGGTGGAAATAGGAAATAGTGATGTCAAATGTCTCAATAAGGAAGAGAAGACAGAGACGTGAAAAGTTAGGATGAATTTGTGGATGACTTTGGAATAGTGTACTAGTCTTGTGTTTGTTATATTATTAATAATAACCCTCTAGATCCCTATTAGACTCTATAATTTTCTGAACTTTTCTGAGTTTCACATAATATTCACAAGTATTAGACAAGACAGGTATGGTGACTTTTGCTCATGTGGGACCTGTTACTCAAAGGGTAAGTGACTGTCTCAAAGGTTGAGGCTGCTACATTGCAGAGCTTGTCGGGCAATGCTACCCATAACACAGTGTGGGGCCAAATGTTGTTATATGCAGAAGAGGCATGATCTGTCTGCATGAAATAAGGAAGATTTGAAACAACTAAAGTGAGGCTTAAAAAGGTGGCCATTAAAAAGTTTTAGTTGGAGGCCTCAAAGGGATGTGAGAGAAGAGTGTGTAATTTTAGGAGAAGGGTTAGCCACGTAGGCTTCTGCACTTTTCATAGTGTGTACTTATCCTGGGATCAGGGCTAACCATGTAACACATATTCAAAATTTTCATGGTTTCCCATTTTTAAATATTATTTTCTGTTCTTCTTATATTATATAAAAGTAAGTGGTAAACAACATGCCTAGCATATTGCATTTTTTAAAAATATGCACAATACATATTTAACATGTACATATTATATGTATGAATATTATGCATATACATTATATACATTAAAAATCTAGGACTTTCTTTTTTAATAAACATGAGACTCATGCTTTGTTTCTGAAATTATCCCCAGATTTATCTGACATTGTTAACTTTCCTTTCTTCTTTTATTAAATATATTGTCTATATACATTACATATCTGTAGGCATGAAAAGGTGTATAAAAGAATATATACTAATTTGTTTGTGGTAGTTACACCCAGAGCGTGAGTTTGAGGGTAGGTTTTGATATTACTCTCCATTTTATTTTATACTTTTGTTTATTTGAATGATAGTGAACATCTAATATTTGTTACTCTTTTTTTTATGTTTTCTGATTTAAAATACAAATTAACATATTATTACCATAGTGTAAGCAATAAGCAATTGGGAAGGGTGTAGATTTCTACAATATGAGAGTTTCTTGAAGTTTATTTTCAAAAATTTATCTTAGACTTGGCTTTGGATTTCTGGACCTTTGTGCCTGTACTGTGCTGAAAGGCTTTACAGGTATATCCGGAGCAATAAGCCAGTCACCATCATTTCCGTCATAAGTCATCCCTCAGATGTCATGGAAATCCGAATGGTCAAAGAAAATTTTAAAGCAAGACCTGGCCAGGTGAGTCAGTGGTTAGCAACTTTTTAAATAGCCTTTATCCTTATGTAATTTTTGGAATTTAGCAAACATCGCATCATTGAAATAGTTGAAATTCTAAATTGGTCATTTAAAACTTATCTGTTTGTTGCTTTTTAGTATATTATTCTACATTGTCCCAGTGTATCTGCATTAGAAAATCATCCATTTACCCTCACAATGGTAAGAAACATATCTCTTGATTTTTCACATTTGTAGGGTGCTATGTATCTTTTTCTTTTTTGTGTCCTATCTCATTCTAAAAGGTATTCAAGGCTATCATAGTATTCCTGATGTTCAAGTAACTGTCCTTTTATAAGGAAAATAGTTATCTGTTCGAGAACTTTGTAATTATTCTTTATTATTTTTTTTTGACACCTTACAATTCAGGAAGTAGTGAATTGAAATGTATTAAAGCTTGTTGATTCAAAATGTAGGCCAAGCACAATGACTCATGCCTATTAATTCCAGCACTCTGGGAGGTCAAGGCAGGAAGACCCTTGAGCCCAGAATTCCAAGATCAGCCTGAACAACATAAGGGGACCCCTTTTCTACAGTAAATTTTTAAAAAAAGAAGTCAGGTGTGGTGGTCCCAGCTACTAGGAAGGCTGAAGGAGGAGGATTCCTTGAGCCCCAGTGTTTGAGATTTCACTGAGCCTTGATCACACCACTGCTCTCTAGCCTGGGCAAGACAGTAAGACCTTGTCCAAAAAAGAAATATATATATAAATTATATATATATAAAAAATTTTGTGAATATTTACTCTTCTCCTTTTATATGGAAAATCTGATATTTACACAATTTTCTTTAGTGATTGAATTTAGGGGAAATATAAATACTCTGGGTTGGGGTGGAAGCATTAAAAAAAAATACAGTGTTTAGAAAAGGTAAAATCCAGTGTAATGGGAGACAGAATGGGAAGTAAAATTAGAAAAATCAAATGGAGTAAATAATGGCATGGGAGGGCATCTAGCTAAATAATGGACAGCATCAAATATGATTAGCTAATCAGCATATTGTTTAATATTATTATCAAAATAGCATGAGCTCGTTTTGAAAATTTAGACAATTCACAGTTATAAAATAAAATAGAAACTTAAAATTATTTTTTCCCCACTTCCCAATTCTTTACTCTGAAATTTGATGTATCTTTCCAGATATCTTCCCATCTGCTTCTGCATATATGAGTGTCTAACATTTGTTTACTGGATCATATTGTTTTGTAATGGGCTCCTTTCACCTAACAACATATGATGGACATCTTCCCATATTACTATATGTGCCTCATTCATGTTAATGACTGTGTAATATTCCACAGTGGGAAAGTATTGTAATTTATTTGATATTCTCATTGATGATGGAGATTTGGACTTTATTCAATTTTTAAGAAAGACATTTGAGAACCGAGACCACATATTTACATGTATGCTTAAGACAAACAAATTGGGGTGTGGGGAAAGGCAAAAAAATAACTAATGACAAAGGGCTGAGATTTGAAAGTAGGGTTGTACTGTGAATGGGAATCATTTTCAAATTGGATGTATTATTCAAGTTGAAAATTCTGATATTCAAGTGAATATTCTGAAACCTTGGGCAAATTTCTTCAGTTGGTTGTAAATTTGGTTCCTCAGTGTAATATTGAGATAAAGACGCTACGTATTCATAGATACTTTTTGTAGAATTAAGTGAACCATTATAAACTAAGGCATGTAGAAGACCTCCTGGAACAAGAAAATGTCAGGTACATGCAAATACATGGTAGCAATTATTATGACTTTGATTTTCAGAGTTTACCCCTTGAGAAATATATGCTTGTGCAGACAGCTAGACCAGAAAGTTCCATATTTAAAGGACCAAAGAGACAGAAGGGAAGTGTCAAATCAAACCAGAAGCCATTCATTCGATAGCATTTCTTAAAAAGAAAAAAAATGATATCTGCTTCATTTGCTTCAAGTTTTGCATTCTGTGTGTAGTAAACTTGTTTATTAATGATTAGGAAGAAGTTTGACATCCAGTGACATAATGAGCAACATTCGATTGTATCAAGAAATATAGCAAAACTGATCTACCATGAGGACTGAATTAATTGATAATTGTTTCCCCAATAATAATGATAGATGAGTCCAGACCCCATTTCATCTGGGGCTGCATTGTGGCTGGCTGGAGTAAGAGGATAAATATGTTATCAGGAGGCATAGAGAAAATTTAGTTGCCTGCATGGAATACAAAATTGAGATCTTCGTGTCTTTAGGACACAGCTCTCTTCAGAAACTAAACAGCCGTATCATGTCCATCCTTCCTGTAGGATATGCATGCCTTACAAGGTGGTTTAATAAAACTATCTTTGTTCCAGGAGGCTTGGGCAATATACCTTACTAACACATGCTCAGGTGTGGGCTTTCAGCTGAATTATGTTTTATTTCTGATAGTTGTAAAACATGTTCCCATCTATCTGCATCCATATATCCCATATATGTAAAATTGGTAACACAAAAATAGAAGGGAATAATTGAAAAGAGAGAAAATACACAAGTTTGTCTTTACTTAAATAGTTTAAGAAGTTTGGCCTAATCCTGGGGTCATAAGAGATTTACTTCAGAATTTAACTTTCCCTTGTGTTGGCAACTTAATTTTGAAAATTATTTCTTCAGCATTAAATAGAGAATATGGAATAAGAAAATAAATCAGTTGCTAAATACCAAGTACAGAGAAGAGAGGATTTTTTGTTACTTTTGAAAACTATTTTTCAATGTACACAAAAGTAGAAAGAAGAGTGTAAAGAACCCTTATGTATTTATCAAAACTATAGAGGATACTTGACTTTTTAGTATATACTCTATCACTAAAACATTTTTGGCTTTCTTAAAACAGTATGTCAAAGAATTTTTCACCTATATTCATACTGAAGTGCGGCTTCTAGATCGAATTTCCTTCCACAGGCCTAGGCCCTTTTCACAAGGCAAAGGCAAAATACAAAGAAGTGATGTGTAGAGCTGGAAGGGCTTTTAAGTCAGTGCCTTCTGTGGCCTGGCCTGCTTCTTAAAGGGTGATTATGGTAACAGGTGTGATAGCTCTGTAGCCAGCTTGAGGCACAGATGGGAAGAAAAGAAAAAGGAGAGAAGGGAATGTAGGTAACAGACAGAAGAAAAGGAACCGGGGGTAGGAGATGGCTGAGAAAGGAAAACCAAATTATATGTGACATAAAATAGTAGTAACTGTTCACACAAAGGGCAAAAACATTAGAATTCATTTTCAGCTCCTTCCGTTGTTACTGCTGTGTCTGTGAGTACATCTCTCAACCCTGCTAAGGCTCAGTTTCAGCATCTGCAAAACAGTGCTAGTGATACTTACCTGGAGGGGCATCCTTGATATTGTCAATATTAGTGAACAAAATCATGTGTGTAAAACCCTTGGCATGTCATTATTGGTCAGTACTTGGTAATAAAGATATTATTATTTTCATAATCTTAAAATATCTGGTTTTAACTTGGATTATTGCTTTCATTTATGAAATTATTAATTTTTAAGAAGTAAGTACAAGACATGAGCATGTGGTTTTTCAACTTGAAAATGAGAAACTGGGAATACGAGAGTAGTTTCAGTTATCTGAAAATCTGTCCTATGGGTGAAGGATCTTTTTTTTCTTTTAGGATCCCAATAGGCAAAAAGTTTTAGGAAAATTCATTTTGATTTAACATAATAAAGACATTTCTAACAATGAGACCATTCTAGAAATTACAAAGAGCTGTCTCACAGGAGTATTTGCAAGGGTGATTGCACTAAATCAGGATTTTTTCAATCATGGCAGTATTGACATGTTGGATCAGATAATTCTTTGATGGGATGTGTTGTGCTGTGTATTATAGGATGTTTTGCAGCCTTTTTAGCATTGATCCACTAGATGACAATAGTATCCCCACTGTGACTGACACAATTGTCTCCAGATGTAACCAGGTGCCTTCTGAGGGGCAAAATCACCTATAGTTGACAGCCACCGCATTAGATCAGTAGTTGGTCAACACAGCTTCCAATCCTGAAGGACTCCAGGATGTTCTTTTAGAGGCCACTGTGAGAAAGGAGAATTTAAGGACAATAGAGAAGTTGAGGGATGGGAGTGCTTAGCTTGTGTTCTGGAGACACCAATCACATCAGTGAGAACAGCTCACTTTTAAACGGTCTCTGTTAGGGGGATTCTGCTAAAGTACTCATATAAACATCATCATCTAAAAACATATTTTCATACTCAACTAGAATCCTTTTTGGAATTCCATGAAAATTATTTTGGTTACCATGAATTCCTGATGCTTTCATGTGATGTAGACCTTTGAAAGAGAATTTGATTACTTTTCAAATTCAAAAAAATTTTTTTTTTGTATGCACTGTCATCAATGCCCAAATAACAGTTTGGATATGAATCAAAAAGAAAAGTGGGAGAGCAGTATAAATATCGGACAAGTTCATCAAGAATTAAAATAACACGAGGATAGCCTCATGTACTTGATATTTTTGTCATATAAATGAAAGCTTTGTTTTTCCCCCTATGGGATCTCAAAGTGTGAAAATAGGAACAGTACATTGTTCTTGGAGAACAAATATTGGTTTAGTGAACACTTTGGGAAATAATGTGTTTTAATTGGTGGAAAAAGACAAGAGAGCTTCCCTCACTTCAGGGAAGCTCCTTTAGGTGTATGAGGCTCTGGAGCCTGTGGGTTGCCTTCTCTAGCAAAGGACATCTCACCCTGGGCCTTGACTCTTGAGGAAGCCCAGGGAGCCCTCAGCATGAAGGCTCTGAGTCCATTGCAGGCTTGTTTCAGAAGATTCAGATTCAGAAGTGCATGAGATGAACATAAAGAGGTTGGATGTCTGCAGTCTATATCCATCATAGTTTTTCTTTTCTTTTCACTTAAGAAAAAATTTTCTTATTTCTTCTGGTTGTATAAGAATTTTTTACCAAAATGACAAAAAGGAGAAAAAAGGATAATTGTAGTAAACCAGGTTTTGGAGACCACTTCTTTGATTCCTTTAAAGAAATGTTGTTCTTTGAAAATTATCCCAGATGTTGGGAGGTGGCATTGGAAGAGGGAAGGAAGGAAGGAAGGAAGGAAGGAAGGAAGGAAGGAAGGAAGGAAGGAGAGGAGAGGGGAGGAGAGGAGAGGAGAGGGAAGGAGGGAGGCAGGGAGGG